GCACCAAACGCTCACAGACGGCCAAGACACTAGCAACCGCCTATAAAAACGCTACTGACCAGACTAGCTCCTAGTCGTCAACTATGTTAAATTTCATTTAACTATATAAAGAGATTAACGTCATTTGAAGACTCCCTGCATTAGCCTCAGTTACAAGCCAGTTCCAGTCCAATACCAGGAATACGAATATGGTCTATTTTAAGATGTTCATAATGACGTCAGCAAATGTCAAGCTTGTGTAGTTATTGTATGCTAATCAAGTTGTCACGTGTTCTTTTTTTCTTTGCAGTGTGAACAGTGCTTAACATGGCAGCACAGCGAGTGTGTAGGTCTAAGTGAGCAGACTGTGCCTCCAAATTACATCTGTTATGTGTGCCTCAAGCCTAGAGGTTTAAGAAAAAGTGCCAAATACAAGGTATGTTTATTTAATTATTGATTTGTTTATTTTTAAACATATACAGGCAAAAACTAACGATAGATAAATCCGACGTTTCGGCGANTTGTTTATTTTTTGCGTAAAAAATAAATGAAACAATTTAAAAGCCATAGCTAAAACTAGCAATAAAATTACAAAAATAAAAACTTGCCAAGAACGAAATACAAGTTCTCTTTTTTTGTGAACCATTGACTTGAAATTTACACCTCTTGACTTGTAAAAGAAGAACGTTCTGATTTTAATGTGTCATAACAGTTAATTGGTTGTGTTTGTTTTTGTAGAATGATTTTGATTGGTTCAGACGAGGTACACTAGCGTGCATGCCTTTTACGTCAATACCAGAGCCGGAGTATACTGCAGAGTTGAACATGGCGACACACGGACTGATGAGCGACGTACATGATGTCAACCGATCCCTAAGGAGTTTGAAACTCAAATTTGAACTCCTCAGGTAATAGTGCATACCAGGACCGTAGCCAGTAACAGGCAAAGCGACGCACTTGTCTCAGTCATTTTTTCCATGTTTGTTGTTGAAGTCATCATAAACACTCTAAATACGTACAATCCTGGTTAAACGTCTTGGGACACTGCCCTTTTGCCAAAGTATAGTCTTTCTGTCTACTTCCACCTCTCCCCCTCGCCCCCCCNGGGGGGGGGGGAGTGGGCTCGTAAAATTGATTAATGACTTCCCACTTCTAAATAATGCGTCAACAGTTGGCATGTTGTCAAGTGTCCCAAGGACTTTTGGCCAGGATTGCAGGATGAGAATTTAACCATAAACATTGCCTCAGTCATAATCTTTTCATGGGCATTGCCTCAGTCATATGTTTTTTCTGGCTACGGCCCTGCATATATTTAAACGTTACAAACCACCGAAGAAAATGACAGTTTTACTGCACCCTCAAGGTTTTACAGATACAGTGACGAGAAAATAACACAAATTCTATCAAGCCGTTACGTAACTCAACCAGTGTTTCAACTAGAGTTCGCTCCATAAAGGAAACTAAGAGCTTTGGTGCTACTTAAACGCTTTACACTGTACTGTAAATATTTCAGACGCTTTAAATTTTGGACACTGAATTAATTAAAAATTTTGGACGGTTTTATTTACGGACACTTATATTTTGTCCGAAATTAAAATCGTCCGAAATTTTTTTTTTTGTGATGAAGTAATGTACCCTTTGAGAGGACAATAGAACAAACAACAGAAACAAAGCCACTAGCCCTAAAACAATAACAGCTGCTAACAATGAAGAGAATTACAAGCTTACGAGAGCTGCTACAGTTCTGAAACGACACCCTTTAATTTCATTTATGGTTTATTTGCAGGAACCCAAGTCACCCGGATCTAAAGTGCTGGCAGGGACCGCGAAAACGTGACGTACCAGAAGAAGTGAACAGAACAGGTGATTTAGAGGTCGAGTCTGCAGCAGATGAGCATGATTTAGTGAAGGATACCACACCTACAGGAAACACTGGACAAGGGGAAAGTAACGGAACAGTTTGTAAGGAGAGCAAAGATCACGCGGCCATTAATGGGCATGTAGAGCCGGGGGATCCATCTCAGAATGGGCTCACGAGGGTGAAGCAAGAAAGACCCTCTACACCACCCCCACCTGTGGATGGCCCTGGTGACACCAATAATAACGTACAGGGCACAAAAGCGGCGGTTTTGGACCCTAGTTCAAATGTGATGGCAACAGCACCTGCTTCGTCAAGTAGAGCTCCTAGCTCTTTTAGTACGAGTAGTGAAGCTGAGTTACGTGTCGATGCTGGCGAAGGGAGACTAGGTGTGGTGAAGAAAGAGGAAGAACCAGTGTCTCCGATCCCTGCGTTAGTCCCTGTTGGTGAACAGACAGCTTACATAAAGAGCGGACCGTCATCTGACAAGGGAAAGCCCGAAGAACTGTCCAGCACTAAATCAGATAATTCTCAGCCCTCTGTCAAATCTGAGAGTGACAAAGAAGTTGCTAGGCAACCAGGGCAACCGAACGCCTCAGTAGGGTCTTCTGGAGCAAACTCTGACGCCAAGGTACCTAGTGTTGAGAGGACGCCTCAGTTGGGATCTGATTCACGGGTTAAACAAGAGAATGACACCATGAGTGCAGCGAGTGATAATACGGCGAGTGATGGGAAGGAAGCGAATCAGGAATCGGCGCAAAGCATGTCGGATGACGAGAGCGTGGGAGCTATTAATAACTTGTTGGATGACATCACTCAGATACAGGATGACTTGGAAGGTCGGATGGATGACATTGAGCAGCAGTTGACAGGTGAGATATCAAGGAGCTCAGTCACGGTATTTTGAGTTATTTTGGACGCGTAAAAATCTACTTTTAAATTGTAGCAAACCTGGAAATAAGATAGAAAAACACCAAAGAGATAATAAACCATAAAGGAACAACAATGATTAAGGATGGAGAAGATTAACACCAATTACAAACGACGAACTTTTAGCTGGGGCAGGTGAAAAGATCATAAAACTGGGTCCTCATGTATGCACGCATAGCTGTACAAACACGGATGCACGCACGCGTATCTCGCATACGCACGCACGCACGCACGCACGCACATCACTCACGTCAACGTGCGTTCTTCACGCTTTCGTCTTGCTTATCCAAGCGGTGGCCAACAACAAGATTGTCCACATTTCCTAGTTCATTTCCACGTGGTAACGCTAGTCCACTTATTCCATGTCTGGTAGAGTATTTCTCGAAAATGCCTGTACATCTGTCTGCGATATCAATTTTTACTGTTCATGTCAATATAAGCGACCTGGTTTAGGTTATAAATGTCATAGGATTATGATTTTATTCGAATCGAAATTGTCAGCTCTACCCCCCACACCCCTCTCCGTGCTCTCGGCTTTTATTTCAGTTAGCAATCTTGTGTTGTTTTTGCTTTATTTCCTTCTTTATTCTTTACTTGTAGTCCTTGAAGAAGCTTATGGCCCACCATCCCAGTCGGCTAAGAAAACAGACTTCAGGAAACTTGTCAAGGATCTTAGTCGTGTAAGGAGACTGCTGCAACAAGTTAGCTGAAGGACGTTGCACTGGAGCTAGCGCCCGTGGCTATGTTCAACCCACTTGTTCAGGTCATCGGAGAAATGCGCTGGACGCATCTCGCTTTAACAAAACTTCTTAGAACTGACAGATTCAGCTGCTGTGATTAATAACGAGTACGAGGGCTGAGTTGTCATTTTGAAGCAGATTCTTAGAGCATAAACTGAGTTTGTAAGGGACGTTATCTGAAAGAAACCCTGGACTTAGTTCATGGCTTCAGTGCACGATTATTTCAGTGAGGTGGAGTCACAATTCAGGTCTGGATCTGAAATAACCTTTGGAGTTTTCGACCCCAAGAGTTTTCTGGGCCTGCAATTGTCATTTAAACTGTTGCTACGTAACCGTGACGTTGCTTCATAACGACAAGCTAACGTGACGTCTAACGTGTAGTGCTCGTGGTATCTTCGGAAATCCTTCGGCATGTTCGACGAGAATGCCGTCAGCGAAACATCTTCCGTCAACGATAAAAATATTAATAATCAGAAAACAAAACCTGTTTGACAATCATGCTTTTTTATGGCACTTGATCGCCAAATTCACCTCCGAGCTTATTTATGTGGTCTCCACTTTCTCTTTTTCTGAAACTATCTTTTACCGGGGCATCATTTCTGTGGAGGCGAAATATAATTTGTTGAAAAAAATTGCCGTAATATTGTGTATTTGAAGCAGAAATGGGAGGCGTCCGTTTTGTAAGCCATGCAAATAAATTTTGAGAAAAAAAATTAAGTCATTATCTGTAAATAGTAAGAAGCTGATGAAATATAAAGAATAGTTAAATAAGCAACTTCTGTCAGGTTTTCTCAAGTCGCAAATTAATCGATATCCATTTTTATCAGTAACGACTTAGAAATTGATAATCAAGTGAAAATAAGCGAGGAGAACCGACGTTTCCAAGTCATCATGACGCCATTGTTGCTGTTTTGGCAAGGAGAGAGCTTAAGCAATGACGACGGCGACGCCGAGGACAACGCCTAGTGGAAAATGAATTTATATTTTACCTTCCAATGTCGCAGATGTCTAGATCCGTTCAGTAGGCTTATAATTGGTTTCAGAACTTACTCGAGCTAAATTTGTAACGCCAGCGTTCAATTCCAAATGAAAATACGAAAAATTAGCCCCCGTCGTTCGCGTTCTCTAAAATACGCAGAACTGCAAGTCATTTCCTGTTATGAAGTCCGCTAGATTTGCAAAATAAATAGAAAAACTACATAATATAAATACTCTGGCGCGCGGCTCAATTAGTTACAGGTTAAACTAAAGTTAAGGGAGCTTATGCGAACCACGTCAAGGAAAACATCACCAAACAAAAGGTTTATGAGCAGAACAATGTCCGCGAATCTTTATGCATTTCGTAGCTGCCTTCTGCAAAACAACAACATGAAATGGCCAAGTTCTGCGTATTTTGGAGAACGTAGGTCACGACGGCAAATTTTTCGTATTTCTTTCTGGAATTGATTGCTGGCATTACATACTTAGTTTACCAGGTTCAGATGGTTACGAAATTCGAAGGTAAAATGTAAATCCATTTTGTTGTTAGGCGTCGTCCCTGGCGTCGCTGTCGTTGCTTAAGAGGAACTGTACGGGTCCGCGCCGTACAGAACCTGGAGCAATAGCGACGGCGACGCCACGGACGACGCCTCTTAAAAGCATAGGCACGCTAGGCGTGCAAGAGTTATCTTTTTTGTGTGAAATGTCGGAGAAAGGAGCATTCATGGAGCTGTTTTCAGTAATGATTTGGTTAATCTGACAAGTTTTTTTGGTTTCGATGTACCGCAAAAAAGAAACTGGGAATTTATGATGTACATGCGATGTTACATCGGTCATGGTAAGATAGCTAAATAGTAAGCCACAAAATGTTTGATTGAACAAACTACAGTAATCTGACACTTCTCCAGATTAATGTAGATACCATCTTATTTTCTAACAGGCAATTTGATTCGTTCTTTGATACAACCCGCACTGTGATTGGTGTAACAGGCGCACATGCATAACTCCCTCACTCACCGATCACATAACCCTTCCAACCCCCAAGAGGGATTTTTGCTCAAAAATACCTAAGTCAATTTAGAGACTCTTTCGCATTTTATACGAGTCATAAGTTTACCCTTTTTACACAACACAACTTCACCGAAAATAGAAAGAAAGAGAAAAAAAACCTCTGACACGTTGAAAGTCTGATTTAATTAAGTTGCACTTCAACTTGGTGCCGCGCAGTCTTCAAAGAACATTTGAACAGTTTTCATACTTTTTACCTTTAAAAATATCGGACTGAAATGAATGTCATCAAAT